CTAGAAATAAATAAAATATTTAAAAAAAAAAAAGATATTTATAATATATATCTTAATTAAAAAATGTTTAAGTACACAAGGGAGTTGTCAAAATAGTTTGCGGTAGATCCTTCACCCAGTCTCCCCTAATGTTCACCTGTTTACATAACCATAGTACTGTGATCATGAGGACACTAATACTGATGTAATCCTATTAATTGATCTAGATTCTCTGAATTTCACAAAGTTTTTTTGCTGTCCTTTTTAAAATTTTTTTTAATGTTTATTTACTTTTTTTTTTTAATGTTTTATTTATTTCTAGGAGAGAGAGAGAGAGAGACAGCGTGAGCAGGGGAGGGTCAGAGGGAGAGGGAGTCACAGACTGAAACAGGCTCCAGGCTCAGAGCTGGCAGTCAGCACAGAGCCCGATGCGGGGCTCGAACCCACGAACCACAAGATCATGACCTAAGCGAAAGTCGGACGCTTAACCGACTAAGCCACCCAGGCGCCCCTAATGTTTATTTACTTTTGAGAGAGAGAGACAGAGTGTGAACAGGGGAGGGGCAGAGAGAGGGAGACACAAAATCTGAAGCAGGCTCCAGGCTCTGAGTTGTCAGCACAGAACACAATGCAGTGCTTAAACTCACGAACCATGAGATTGTGACCTGAGCCAAAGTCGGACACTTAACTGATTGAGCCACCCAGGTGTCCCTCACTATCCTTTTTTTGGTTTAGGACCCAACTCAGGGTCACATAATGCTTTTAGTGATCGCGTCTTCTTAGTCTCCTTTAGTCTGTGACAGTTCCTCAATTTTTCTTTGTCTTTCATGACCCCATCCCAACACTTTTGAAGAGTACTGGTCATTTATTTTGGCCTTCAATTGGTTTTATCTGATATTTTCCCATAATTAAATCAAGTTCATGTAGTTTTGACACAGATACTACAGATATGATGTTGTGCCCTTCTCAGTGCATCATATCAGAAGGTGCATGATGTCAGGATGTCTTCTTACTAATGATGTTAACTTGGATCATACGTCTAAGTTGGTGTCTGCAGAGTTCTCCAAATAGTATTTTTCTATTTGTAATTAGTAAGTATTTTGTGGTGAGGTACTTTGAGAGGATGCGAATATCCTGCTTCTCGTTATCCTTTTGGTCTCTATTTTAGTATCTAGTGATGATTCTTGTCTGTAAAAAGTATTACTGTGACATCTGCCTGATGGTGATTTTTCTATTTCCATCATTTCTTCTATATTTGTTAAGTGGAATTCTGTAAGATGTAGTCCCTTTGCCCATATGGATTTATTTATTCAATTATTTTTTTAAATCAGTATGGATTCCTGGATATTTATTTTATTCTAGTGATTATAATTCATCACTATCTTATCTTCTTGCTTACATTGTCCTAGATTTGGTCATTAAGAGTTCCTTCAACTTGGCCTCTATCCACCATTTTTTGAGCATTTCTTTATTTGCACATCTGAACATTGATGAGGGAAATTACATAAATTCCAAAATGTTCTCTTTTTTTTAGATTGCTTTGGGTGTTTTGGGTGGGCTGGCTGTATTATCATCTCTTCTGAAGACAGCAGGATGGAAGAGGCGCATTGGGAGTCCCATGATTGATTTACAGGTATGATCTCAGGAGTTTTTGAAGTATCTTTTCATCTTTTGACTATTTTGTATACTTCTTTTAAGATACAGCTGGAGAATGAGTAAAACACTGCCCTGTTTCTCTGGGATACATAACTAGGGAAGGTGTGTACACGCATTTTCCTCCCGCATTGCTGTGTGCCAGTCCACACTCCCACCAGCAGTGCTGTTCTTGTTTCCACACATCCTCACCAACGCTTGGTATTTTCCAGCCTTTCCATTTTTTGCCAATCTGGCAGTGCAAGTAGTACGTCATTGTTGATTTCATTTCTCTGCTTTTCATAGACTTTATTAATCATCTTGGTTTCCCTTGCCAACTTTTCTATTTGGTTTCCAGTTTTTCTCTTTGATTTCAAGTAGTTTTTTGTATTTTCTAAATATGAATATTCTTTGCTTTTTGATGTTGAAATATGTCCTCTGAATATAACCAATCTGTTATGCTTATCTATGTGTTACTTTATTTAACAGAAACTTAATTTTGATATTGTCACATTTTTTAGTTTTTCATGTGCTTCTGGAAAATTTTTTTAGGAAAACTTTCCCAATCTCAAGATCACAAAGATATCCTCTATTAACTTTATAGTTTTACTTCTCATATAATCATTTTTTATTTATTTGTTTTTATTTTTATCTAACATTTACTGAATATATGCTATATAATAGGCACTTTTTTAAAGCTTTATTTATATAATTTATTTAATCTTCACAATAGCCCTATGAGATTAGATACTATTATTATCATTCCTGTTTTTCATAGAATGAAATTGTAGCAGAAGTGATATAAACTTTCTACTCTTTTAATTTTTACAACTCAGTGATAGGTGGATTTATTTCCATTTTGCTGATGAGGAATGTGAGAAAGGCAACATAGTAACTTGTATGTACTGGGATATCTTCCTGACACCAAAGCCAGTGTGCCAAGGAATCAGAGGACAGGGGCTTGGTTTACTATTTGGAATAGTCAAGAAAGGCTTTCCAGAGAAGTGAACTTTAGGCTGGGTTGGGTTATCTGTGCATTCCCTGAATAGTCACTGACAACCCACTGTCTGATTGCCAAGGACACTACCAGACGCTGGGATGTGATAGTGAGCAGAGACGGATACTTTCAGAGCTCGTGGGAGTTTGCCACAGAGAAGAAAGAATATTTGATGAAACAATAAGCAATGCCCATTTCATTCCACAAAATAATTGAAATGCCAAGTTAATCATGGAGTGGTTGGAACTGGCAGATGAAGTTAAAAAGTCCATTTTGGTCTAGGTTTTGAAGGACCTTATGGGTCTGGAATTTCTACTTTAGTGAAGACTCATTGTACATTTTTAGGAAAGGGAGTGACACAATTCAATTTACATTTTATTTTATTTTTCCAATTTACATTTTAGAAAGCTAACCCTGGTGGTAGTATGAAGGAGTGATTGGGGTGAAGGGCTCCAAACTAGGAGAGAATTAGGAGGCAATGTAACTTTCTTAGATGGTAAAAGATGACACGGGTTAAGACAGATGTTGGTAATGGACTGGAAGGTACAGATTCAAAGGAATCCAGGAGGCATCCATAGTTGGGCTTTATAACCGAGTGATCTAAAGATACATGAAATAAGGCTTTAAGCTTGAAAATCTAGGTAGAAAATAGGTTACTAAAAGTGATGATATAAATAGGTTGAATCTATAACAGCTATAATTCTCTTTTTAAATTGCAGACAGTTATGAAATTCTTGGTGTACTATGCTGGTGATCTGGCCAATGTTTTCTTTGTCATCACTGTGGGAACAGGTCTTTATTGGCTTATTTTCTTCAAAGTAAGTGAGTTTCTCAATTTAACCTAAATGTTCATACATGAATAACTGGTAAGCTGTCTTTATAAAGAAACTGTCTTTATTTGGGGATATTTCTCATCAAGAAAATTGAGTGAGGCAAGCACTGAATTCCCCATTCCTTGAATGTGGTGTTTATTGAGTATCACGACCTTCCTCTTTTATGCTTTCTTTGGTTTATAAATTGTGCTTCTTAAAAACCCTGTATGGTCATATTTAATAGTGTAACTTATATCATAGGCACAGAAATCTATCTCTGTTCTGCTGCCAGTGCCAGCTCAGGAAGAACGTCTTGTTACTTATGTGGGATGTGCTTTTGCTCTGAAGGTAAGTTTCAGAGGACAGGTACCTGAATTTAAAAGACCTGCTAATAAATTCATAAGTCTTTAAGATGCTTTCAAAATCTTTGGTGTAAAATTTAGTGTGGTTTTATTTTTTTTATTTATTTCTATTTTTAAAGTTTCATTTTTTTTAAGTAATCTCTATACCGAGTATGGAGCTCGACCTCACAACCCTGAGATCAAGAGTCACCTGCTCTTCCCACTCAGCCAGCCAGGCGCCCCAAATTTAGCTTGATTTTATTTTTTATTATTTTTTTATTTGAGAGAGAGAGAGAGTTGGGAAGGGGCAGAGAGAGGGAGAGAGAGAATCTCAAGCATGTTCCTTTCCATCAGTTCATAGAGCCTGATGCAGGGCTCCACCCGAGCCAAAACCAAGAGTCGGACATTAACCTGGGTGGCTCAGTCAGTTAAATGCCCAACTCTTGGTTTCCTCTCAGATCATGATCTCATGGTTTGTGGGATCAAGCCCTGTGTCAGGCTCTAAGCTGGCTGTGTGGAATCTGATTGGGATTCTCTCTCTCCTCTCTCTCAGTCTCACCCTCATGTGCTCTCTCTCTTTCTCTTTCTCTCAAAGATAAATAAACATTTAAAAAAAAAGCTCGAATTATTTTATTTTACCAAGAAAGTCTACTTTTATTTATTATAGATAGTTCATTCTGAAAAACTGGCTTAAACGATTTTCCTAAGAAGCCATACATATTTTTGAATTAATACAAGTTGTAGCTAATTTGACAAAGTGAGATTTCATTATATGCCTTTTCTTTTTGAAGTCTGATGATGCATTCACAATGCCTTTCAGCATGAATTTTATGTCTTTAGTGGACAGTAAAAGATACCACCTTGGATAAAGTACTGGAATCTAGAGTTTGTTTTCTCTGTCCCCATATTACTTCCTTCTCTTCTCATGGTGTCCCCTCTTCGTATTTCATTGTTCTATCAACGTATGTGAAGCTCTTTAACATGGTTCTGGTACAACTCATCCCATTGTACTATGATTATTAGTGAGTATCTGCTTTTCCCACTCATTTGTGAGCTCCTTGAAAAGAGGAATCATGCCATACTTAACACTTATATTCTTTGATAAATAATGCATCTACTAGGAAGAATGCCCCAGATTAACGTATTACTCTTGTTAAAATGAAAAAGGTGTGTTTCAACAACACATTTTTAGAAATTAGCAATCTCATTACCAGAAATAGGAAAAGAGACAGTAAGGGTATCTTAAAACTTTAATTAAGACAGCAAATTACAGTTGAAAAATTCCTTCACTTATAAATACATCAGATGATCTAGAAAATAAAGTGTGCTTTTGGAAACCATTGAAAGAGAGTCAATTATGCATGGCTTCTGTATGACGAGAAGGTAGTATGTCTACTTTTTTCATATCCCTATTTTAAAGAAAGCAGAAGAAAGGAAGGCAAAGTAATGTGTATAAAAATTTTGTGAATTTGTTGATTCCATGCAATTTGATAAGCTTCTAGTGATCCCATAACGATATTATAACTTTGTTATTGTGCATTGTATATTCTTGTGATTACAGTATATTTGTTTCTTAAAAAATCATTATTATTTTCAGAAGCAGGTTTTTTAAATGTTAAATATTATTTTTGAGAGAGAGAGAGACAGTGTGAGTGGGAGAGGGGCAGAGGGAAAGGAAGACACAGAATCTGAGCAGACTCCAGACTCTGAGCTGTCAGCACAGATCCCAGCGTGGGGCTCGAACTCAAACCATGAGACTGTGACCTGAGCTGAAGTGAGCCACTTAATGAACTGAGCCACCCAGGCGCCCCTCATAAGCAGGTTTAATGTGGATATTTTCTCAAAGGTTTTGTTTGTCGTTTTCAGGCTCTGCAATTTTTGCATAAGCTTATGTCCCAGATTACCATAGATATATTCTTTATTGATTGGGAGCGACCTAAAGGGAAGGTTCTGAAAGCTGTTGAAGGTAACTGAAATAACCATTGTACCAAAATGCTTTTGCTGCTTTTTCAGACCAAAGATAAAACCTTCTTGTTTTCTTTTTCTGACCAGGTGAGGGCGGTGTTCGCAGTGCCACGGTTCCTGTGAGCATATGGAGAACGTATTTTGTAGCCAATGAATGGAATGAAATTCAAACTGTGAGAAAAATTAATCCACTCTTCCAAATACTTGCTGTCCTCTTTTTTTTGGAGGTATAAACTTTTGTAATTGTGACTTTGCTGCACCTCATGTATCTTAATTTCATGTAATTCCAGCTACATTTTTTTCCAGCTACATTTTCACATCAGTGGAAGTCTTCTAAAGCTTTCTAAAGTTACCAAGGCATTACAAATAGTGGCTTTTAAAAACTGTGTTAAAATACACATAACATATAAAACAAAAAACAAAAAAATCGCCTGGGTGACTCAGTCTGTTGAGTGTCCAACTCTTGATTTCAGCTCAGGTCATGATCCCAGGGTTGTGGGATCGAGCCCTGCTTAGGGTTCTGTGCTGAGCATGGAGCCTGCTTAAGATTTTCTCTCCCTCTGCCCCTCTCTTCTGCGCTTGCTCTCTCTCTCTCTCTCTCTCAAATAAAAAAATATATACACAAAACATGAAATCTGTCATCTTAACCATTTTTCAGTGTGCAGTTCAGTCTAGGTATATTCATCCTACTGTTCCACCAACCTCTATGACCCTTTTGTCTTGCACAACTGAAATTCTGTGCCTAACATTAAACAACAACTTCCCATTCCCCCTCCCCAGCCTCTGACAATTGCCGTTCTACTCTGTCTCTTTCAGTTTGACCACTCTAGGTAAGGAGCAGGTTTTTTTGTTTTGTTTTGTTTATTTTTGAGTGAGAAAGAGTGTGAACAGGGGAAGGGCAGAGAGAGAAAGGAAGAGAGACACAGAATCCGAAGCAAGCTCCAAGGTCTGAGCTCCAGCACAGAGCCTAACATGGGACTCGAACTCATGAACCATGAGATCATGACCTGAGCCAAAGTCAGACATTTAACTGACTGAACCACCCAGGTGCCTCAGGAGCTGTTTTTAAACTACTGATTTGTATCAAAATCCCCTGGGAAGCTTTTACAAAATATCTGTTCCTGGCCTCACCCCTAGAGATTATGTTTGCTTCCATAGCGTCTCTCTCATTCACATTCTTACTTGAATTAGAATTCTGCATTAGAACCACTATTGTAGGTGAAATTTTTCAATAGATTATCATCAAAAGCCTACTATAGACTATGTTTAGTGCTAAGAGCTGAACTATGCACAGAGAATGGGTGATGTTTATGATACCTTTACAGCTATTTCATGGATCTGGTTGGAAGTATTAAAGGAAGTATTCAGTACTGAATAGGAGACCCATTTTTGTGGGTAATAGATTTTCTCAAGAATTAGCTGCTTAAATAAAGTTAAATATGAATTATTAACTCATGTCTGTCTGCCTTTTTTCCTTTTTCTTCCTTTCTTCTCTCCCTTCCTTCCCTTTTTTTAAGCCAGGAAAATATATGTATTCCTAAGGCATATGAATGATTTTTCAAAAATTAACTTACAATATTGTTTGTTAAGAGTGTTCTATAGAGCTTTAAAGGTGTTATATGAAAAATAATTTTTTTAAATAAGCACATTTGGAAAGCATTGGATTCAATAAAGTTATGTAGATTTCTTTACTGTAAAACTTCCCGGAACTTCTACTCAATGAGAGTGGAAGACATGGACAGGAGTATAATGTACAGACTACACTTACTCAGCCATGGCTTCCTTTTATCACATAAGCTACCTTCCTCAAAAGACATTTTGGAAAATACTGTTGAAAATATAAGAAGTATTTTGCATAGTGCCTGGCATATGTTAAAAATGCATGAAATGCTGGTTGTTCATTGGTTGTTTACTGAAGAAAGTTTTATTCTTTTTGACAGAAATGTTTTAATTTTGTCAGTGTATGATAATAAGGTTATATCTGGCCTTTAGTCATATTGAAGAGATTTCCAAATGAACTAACTAAATAGTTTGCTTTGTAATTAAAAATACTGAATAATTATTTTTACCTAGATTTTCTACTATTTGTACAAACTTTTATAAATATTTTAGTTGTTTATAGTAAGGAGTAGGGAGGAGTGTCTCATTAGTAGAGCTGTTTTCTTTATCCATGTCTGTTAAAATTTTTCATTTTTTTACTCCAGGTTATAGGATTCAAGAACTTAGCATTAATGGACTCATCCTCTAGTCTTTCCAGAAGCCCTCCTAGCTATATAGCTCCTTATAGCCGCATTTTAAGATATGCAGTGGCTACTGCTCTTTGGCTAGTCATTGGAATTTTACAGGTAACAACAGATCATACTTTTCAGCAGCATTACTTTTCTATATTTATAACCCTGTTTACATACTAATTATCCTCAAATAATTGGCCACATCCTGGTTTCTACAGCAGAAAGAAGGTGGCAGTGGAAACAACAATAATAGTAGCTAATAGCTCATTCTCACATTGTGTTATAATCCAGGCCCTGTGGTGATTAATTGCCATGTACATATTAACTTAATCTTTATAGTAGCCCTCGGAGATGGTTTCTGTTAGTATCCTTATTTTATAGAGGAGAACACTGGGGCACAGAAAGGCTAAATAGGTTGCTAAAGTCATGTAATTAGAGATCGACAGAACTGGAATTTGAGTCCAGGCAATCTGATGCCAGAGTCAACACAGTGGGCTCTGAAGGGTCTTTGAGACTTGCAGCTTTCTCATCAGAGGATGGATTCCGTGTTTAATTTATATAAACTGCAGGGATTGCTAAGCTACTTTTAATATTTCCTTTTTTTTTAATACAACTGAGTGTTTACATTTATTTATATATCATTAAAACTCTTTCAGATTGCCAGTACCCCTTGTGAAATTTTTGTTGAAATATTTATTGAGAATCTGAAACTAAAAATACATCTTCTTGGCTTCAGGTCCTGTGGCTCTAGCAGGGGATCTTTTCTATATTCACTTCCCTTATCTGCTTAGACCTTAAAAAACAATTAAAGGAAGGAGGAAGAGACAGCAGCATGAGCTAAAGCACCTAACTCCAATATATGCACTTTTTTCTCTTGCTTCTAGACACTCCCATGAATGGAAAGAGTCTTTCTGTTTGATTAAAAATTTCTTTAAGTCAGCAAATGAACATGGGACCGCTAGAAAGACCACGTTAAACTTTCTCAAGCCTGGCAAAACAGCCTATTTTTGAATCATGGTTTGGGATTAAAATCCAAAAATTCCTATAGAATTGGATCCAGGTGGCATTCTGTACTGAAAATAGACTTTTAAAATTTGCATTTATTTTAAATTAATGAGATTTGTTTAAACTTGAAGCTACAGGGATAAATCCAATGAGGGATAGCTTAATAATCAGAAAAGAAAGCCAGAGGAGCCTGGGTGGTTCAGTCGGTTGGGCATCCGACTTCAGCTCAGGTTGTGATATCATGATTCCTGAGTCCAAGCCCTATTGTCAGGCTCTGTGCTGTGTCTCCCTCTCTCTCTGCCCTTCCCCAACTCATACTCTGTCTCTCTCTCTCTCTCTCAGAATATAAATAAACATTTTAAAAAATTAAGAAGAGAAATCCAAACAAATTAGAGTTTGAAATGAGATAGGATCAAAAGAGAATAGGGTTTGATATTTTCATCAATATACTAGGGTGAAAATAAGTCATTTTAAAAATATACCAGTATACGTTTTTCTGGTAGTTTGGATTCATCTGGATGTAGGAAATTTAAAGGAATACCATCTGAAGCTTTTCAAATTTGGTTGAGTACAACAACAACAAAAAAAGCTAAAATAGCAGTGGCTGAAGAAAAGTGGCCCTCTCCCACGAGAAAGAAGAATGGAGATGTGCAGTGGAGGGCAGCTCCATGCTGCCGCCAGGACCCAGAAACTGCCACTTAGGACCTCCCTCTCGTGGAGGGAGTTGGAGAGAACAGCTCACCCCCTCTTCTTTAAGAGCCTTTTCAGAAGTCCTGTTCAGCATCTCCTTGGCCAGAACTTAGGCAAGTGGCCACACCTTCCTACACCGGTGTCTTTCAGCGGGACAGCAGTGTGCCCACCCCAAAGAGGGCTCTGTCACTAGAGAGAAAGGGGGAAGGATTATGGGGGCAGAAACTAGTCATCTCACCTCATTCTTTGTTTCTCACTCTGCTTTCATTCTGGTAGGAGTATTTCTCTCTGTGGTAACACTAGGGTTATTAGTGTTCATTCCTCAAGTATCATTAAGCATTCCTTTAAAAACCTATATAGTTCTATAAATTTGCTGATAAAAAGTGTTCTTGATTCTCATACTGTTAGGCTTTATTGTTTACTCATTTTTTTCCCCTAAACCCAGCCTCTTCAACTTTTAAGTGGTACAATTTCGTTTTTAGACTTCTTAAGTTGCTGTTTTTCAAGTCCTTTAAAGGGATTTAAAATAAAACATATATAGAATGTTAGGGAAGTGTGTTCAGTAATCAGCTGCTGTAGTACAGCAGCTTTCATTCACCTATCTGGGTACATTTCCGTACTAGGCTCTATGCTGGGCTCAAGGATATGCTTAACAAGAACAAGCTACAGATTGTGTCAAATGCTATGAAGGGCATCAGTGGGGAGATGAGATAGGGAGTAAATGGAGGAGTGGTGGGTGGAGGTTAGGAATGGGGGGCAGCTTTCAACGGGCTGGTTAGGAAGTGTTCTCTTTCTCTGAAATATATCTAAGTTGGTCTACGACGGAAACTTCTCTTTTGATTTATAAAATAATTTCCTTCTGTAATATTGTTATTAAAGCTAAGAAAACAGTTGAAACCGTTCCATTTGAATATTTAATGCATTATCTGCAGTTGAAAGAGAATACTTGATAAATGTTTTTTATGTGCTACTCTGTCAGGGAAGATTAATTTGAAAAGCAGCAAGTTTTCTAATGGCTTTGGGACTTAGGAGATGGGCAGGATTGCAGACCCAGACATAAACCTGGCCACTAATTCGTTGGTTTGTGCTAAATTTTTTAAAGTCCTTATTTTTCTTCCCCCACATTTGTCCCATCTTGTTTTAATGATACCGAAAAGTTTTTAAAGTGCAAAATAAGCTCCCTCAATGAATCTTAACACAATTCCAAAACGTTCTTTCTTTGACAGAAGAATCAGAAATGATGAGTAGGATCTTATCCCACAGGAACCATTTAGAGGCCACTGTGTTCTTGGGTGAACCTTCTTTTCTCTTAAGGTACTACACTATGGTTATAAAAGAAAATTAAATTTTAAAAGCTAATAAGTATGAACTTGGCTTAATGTTTCAGATCATGTTCTTTGCTGTCTTTTATGAGAGATTTATAGAAGATAAAATTCGACAATTTGTGGATTTATGCTCTATGAGCAATGTAAGTACTTTCTGACTTTGTCTTGCAACTGTTATTTTTCCCTTTTTAAAGGTCATGAGTACATTAAGAGAGGCTTTAAAAGTGATTTGGTATGATTGGATTTTTTAGTCCAATTTCCCACTGATTGTTAATTCCGGAGATAGTTATAATGAGCTACAAGCTAATGTTTACTGCCTTAGTTTCTTCTTCTTCGTGTGCAGTTTCTTAATTATGAATTCCTTATGCCACCAAATAATTCCCTCAGCAGAGTCCCTGAAAAGTTTTCATATATCAATCCTATTTCTTCCTTTCTTATAAAATATCTTCAATCTCTTTTCTATGTACTTTAAAAATTACTTAATTATCCTATATTACTTATTGTCCTATTTACATATTTTCCAAAAATTCAACCCTCTTTATTTTGAGAGAAAGAAAGCAATTTTAAGAAAAACTTAATTTTTACTGTTATCTCAGTGAGTAGCTAACAGTTCTTTTTTTCTCTTTTTATAGATATCCGTCTTTCTGTTATCCCACAAATGTTTTGGATATTACATTCATGGTAGATCGGTACATGGGCATGCAGATACTAATATGGAAGAAATGAATATGAATCTTAAAAGAGAAGCGGTATGAAAGTATTTAATATCTTTTAGTTTTTAAGTTAAGAGACATGTTCTCTTCTTAATCTAGGATTTGTAATAATATTTTTAAAAGTTTCTCATTGATTACTTTTGAAAATTGCTGAGGTACTGATTCATTACCCTGAACATTGATAAAAGGAAAGAATCAAATTTCATCCTACAGTTTCTATAGGAACTATGTTTCAGAGTAACCAAATAATTCATGAGGGAAAGTTCTTTCTTATAAAATTAACTAAAAGGAATTCTACCGTAGAAAATCACCATTTTGTAATGACTGATGGATTAATGCATATAGGCTACAATCATCAGTGGATGCTAAAACAATTAAGTGAAGGTTGACAGGGAGCTTTATAATGAGGAATCAGAGGGACACAGTCTGAACACACTGGCTCAATCTTACTACAAGTAAAAATTAGGAAAACCAACATGATACACTTCCTGTTCTGATGCAGTAGAAAGTACATTGTATCACTCATGAAATATCCTTGCTTAAGAAAATCGAGCCTAAATATAATCAAGCCTCTAGATCTAACCACCAGTTTACAGGAAGTAGAGGAGATAGAGGGATAAATTAAATAATAACATAAGAAGCAATTAGCCATATCTAGAATGTAGCATGTCTCGCAAGATAGATGACCCAGTGTCTCCAGCATATCAAAAGCATGTAAAAAAAGAGAAGGGATGGGTGGTGGTAGGGGTGCAAGAAGAACCGTTAGATAGCAAGAGAGATTTAGAAACAGAATAATCAAGTACAATATGTAGACTCTGGATCCTGATGCAAACAAACCAACTATTTAAAAAATACTTTGGAAAAATCAGGAGATTTAATTTAAGGACTAAATATTAAATTGCATTAAGAAATGATTCATTTTATTACATGGAAAAATGGCATGGTGGTTTGTTTGTTTTAAGACCTTATTAGAGATACATACAGTAGTATTTACAGATTTGGGGTTGGGTGATAGGTGTTTTCATGTTTGTTCTCTGTACCATGTACATTAGAAAACTTCCATAATAGGGGCACATGGGTGGCTCAGTTGGTTAAGCGACCAACTTCAGCTCAGGTCATGATCTCGCAGTTCGCGGGTTCCAGTCCCACATCAGGCTTTGGGCTGACAGCTCAGAGACTGGAGCCTATTTCAGATTCTGTCTCCCTCTCTCTCTTCCCTTACCCCACTCGTGCTCTGTCTCTCAAAAAATGAATCAGCGTTAAAAAATTAAAAAAAAAGAAAACCCAGGGGCGCCTGGGTGGCTTAGTCGGTTAAGCGTCCGACTTTCGCTTAGGTCATGATCTCACGGTTCGTGGGTTCGAGCCCCGCGTCGGGCTCTGTGCTGACTGCCAGCTCAGAGCCTGGAGCCAATTTCAGAGTCTGTATCTCCCTCTCTCTCTGACCCTCCCCTGCTCACGCTGTCTCTCTCTCTCTCCTAGAAATAAATAAAAAAAAAAAAAATTAAAAAAAAGAAAGAAAACCCATAATAAAATTAAAAAGAAAAATAAATACTTGAGAGGAAAAACCAAGAGAATTTATTGACTAAAGGACTATACCTGTGACTTATAAGAACTTAGTACATGATAATAGCACATCTCAGAGAAGAACAATTTATTTAATACATGAACTGGTTGGGTAACTATTAGGAATTACACCTGAGTTGAAAAGTTAAATGTAAAAAAAAAGAATATCTGAGATTGGGAAGTAACATTCTAAGCAAAAAGAATAGAAAGCATCAGGGGTACTGGGTGGCTCAGCTGGTTAAGCATCGGACTTGGGCTCAGGTCATCACCTCATGGCTCATGGTCTCGAGCCCCATGTCAGGCTCTCTGCTGCCAAGCCAGAGTCTGCTTCAGCTCCTCTGTCCTCTCTCTCTGCCCCTCCCCTGCTTGTGCATGCACACAAAAAAGTAAACATTAAAATAAAAGATTAGAAAGCATCATAAAGAGAATATCCATTCATTTTACTTTATTAATTAATGTGGAATATTTACATAGCCAACAATCATGTAAGTAAAAGACATAGCAAATTAGGATAAAATTCGCATAGCAAATGTAACAAAGATATTGATAACAATATTGAAAGTCTTACAAATCTGTTAGCAAACAGTTAAAACATTAATGGAAAAATGACAATTTTTAAATACATAAATGAACAGGAGACTAATAAACCTCTTAAAAATGTATAGCTCATAAAAAATAAATGTAAAAAGATATTTGCCCTCTTCAAATTAGCAAACTTTTTTTAAAAAGCTAATACTTAATACTACCAGGGACATGGTGAAATGGGCACCTGTGAAACTACTAGTCTCAGAATAAATTTTTACAAATCTTCTGGAAAGCGTTTGGAAATATATATACCAAGAATTTCTGAAGAGTTAATTATCTTTTACTCTCTGATTCTGTAAATCTAATTCAAGGAAACAATTAGCAATATGAATAGCTAATTAGGTTGAGGCTCTTTATCACAGGGACTATTTATAAGGGCAAAAACATATAAAAATAAGAGTGTATTAAATCAGTTGGTTTTCCTACACAGTGAAGTCTTAGGTAGACATTAAAAATCTTGTTTAATAGAATATTTAATGACATAGAGAAAAAGAAATCAGTGTGATCCCAATTTATGCCCTCTATATCCTTGGACAAAGGACTGAAAATGAAATGCCTTCAAAACTTCTGTCTCTGAATGTTGTGATCATAGGTGATTTTTTTCTTCTCCTTTTTTTATATACCACTCCATGTTTTATAAATTCTCTGCAATAGCATGTGCTTTTTTAATCAGGAAAAAAGAAATGTTTTTTAATAGAGAAATTCACTACATGTAGACTTCCTTTCAGTCTGTAGAAAACCAAGTGTTATATTATGTTCAAAGATTAAGTTTAGACAAAGAAGGAGATTATTAAGCTCTGGAGTAGGTAAATAAAGCAAGAGACGGGAAGCAGGAGGACTTGAGGTGACCTTGAAGCATTGATGGGAAGTAGCTAGGGGTGGGGTAAGGCAACATTTCACATGTTTCTGGTTTTCAGGATTCAGGTTGTGTCAAGGAGACCTGAAATGGATATATGGTTCATGGCATTGACTGTTCTGTTATGTATCACTACCTTTTATTGCATTTAATTAAGGAAGTACTTTAAAAGGGTTGAGAAAACAAAAAAGATTATAATTATGAAAGTAGATCATCTAAGACTAGACATTTTGGCATGTGTTAAAGAGCAGTAAAGTTAATCATAAAGAAAGCTATGAATATCAATATATAATGAACTTAGTATGGATTTTTTTAAAAGCACGGTAAAGGAGATGATATAGAGAGCCTAAAGGCATGACAACAAAGAAATTAGTAAAACCCAGAGGAGGGTGAGAACCTCGGATCATATCAGAATCTCTTTTGTCTCAAATATAGTTTCATAAAATTTCACTTGGCTTTCAAATCTTGTAATGTGTGCTACCAACAAAAAGAAAAATTTTAGGCATGCCTGGGTAGCCCAGTCGATTAAGCGTCCAACTTCGGCTCAGGTCATGACCTTGTGGTCCATGAGTTCAGGCCCTATGTTGGGCTCTGAGCTGTCTGGCTTTGTGCTAACAGTCTGGAAGCTGGCACTTGGAGCCTGCCTGAGATTCCTTCTCCGTCTCTCTCTGCTCCTCCCCTACTCGCACTCTGTCTCTGTCTCTCAAAAATAAACACTTTGTAAGAAAGAAAAATTTTATATTTTCTTTTTGAGATAAGGTAAAATTTTCATCTTTATTTAAATCATTTAACTTTTCAGGAAAACTTGTGTAGCCAGAGAGGTTTGGTACCAAACACAGACGGTCAGACTTTCCAGATTGCAATTTCCAGCCAGATGAGACAACACTATGACAGAATTCATGAGACACTGACAAGGGTTTGTATAAAGTCCAATTCAGGTATATTTTGCCAATATTTCATGTTACTTAAAAACCAAGAATGTAAGACATGTTACATTTATTCTTGTCTCTTTTTCATATTAGAAAAATGGCCCTGCCAGACTATTGAGTTCATCAGCAAGTACATTTGAGCAGAGTATAAAAGCATATCATACTATGAATAAATTTCTTGGCTCTTTCATCGATCATGTATGTATGTCAGCGTTTATATTTAAACTAGAAGCAAAATGCAATTCTTAAATGGTTAACCAGGAATGTCAATTATTTCTTTAGTTAACCAAGTCAGTGGACTTAGAACCCTTCTTTTTTTTTGCCTGTCAAAATTAATACTGTGGCTTAAAGATAGAGTTAGGTTATATAAAAATAAGATGACGTTTTATATCTCCATTAGCATAATGATAATTCCCTTAAAGTACGGCTATACTGGAATTTTGTTAGCTAGTTACTGAACTATTACCATATCACTTATTATGGAGATATACTGTGGTTGTATTCCTGAAAAGCTTGTTATAAGTTGATTTTAAGTATATCTAGCCCTAAATACTACTAAAGACATTTAAAATTAAAACATTTCTAAAGAAAATTTTGTTATAAAGCCCAGTGTAGTAAAATCAATCTTTTTAAAGAACAGATTTTTTTTACTGTTCACTTTTCATTTTCTCTCTTTCTGACTTTACATTAATTGGGAAACATTTATTTCACTGCTGTTTTTTAAATGATTTTTTTTTAAATTAGGTTCATAAGGAAATGGACTACTTTATAAAAGATAAATTGCTTCTTGAAAGAATTCTTGGAATGGAATTCATGGAACCAATGGAAAAAAGCATCTTTTACAATGGTATCCTTCAAATGCCTTTGCTAAACTTGATTATTGTTTTCAAAGTTTGAAAAGAAAAAGTACTTGTAGTTATTGCTTTTATAATTTTATATAAAAACAAAGGAAACATAATGAACTTAATTTCATAGTATTGTAGTAGTTTTCTGGGTTCTATTTTATTATGTCATATAGCAGTAAACAAAAGTATAAAAGGGGTGCCTGGGTGGCTCACTCAGCTAAGTGCCCAACTCTTCATCTCAGCTCAGGTCTTGATCTCAGGGTGGTGAGTTCAAACCCTGCATTGCTGGGAGTGAAGCCTACTTAAATCCATTCACACATACACATATGTGTGTGTATATATGTGTGTGTGTGTGTGATACAAAAGATAATTATTCTTTAAGAAAGTAAAAAAACTGTATTTCAAAATCAGTGGTAGACATGGAAGAGATAGTAAAACACATAAAACTCAGATTTTTTAAAATTTGAGTATAATTGACATGATGTTACATTAGTTTCAGGTATACAGCATAGTAATTCAACAGCTCTGTATGTTATGTTATGCTCATCACAAGTGTAGCTACCATGTGTCACCATGAAATGCTATTATAATACTATTGACTATATTCCTTATGCTACACCTTTCATTACAGTGACTTATTCATTCTATAACTGAAAGACTGTGGGTCTCTCATCCCCTCCACAGGTAGGGGAGAAAAGAATAGTAAAAAATTATCCAGATTTCCAGCTTGTGTGACTAAGTGGTTTGTGGTGGTACCTTTCAGTAGGACAGAGAATACAGATGGAGAATGAGTTTGTGAGGGAAAGATGAATTTAGTTGTGTTTTTAAATTTTTAAAATTTTTTTTTTTTTTTGAGAAAGAGACAGAGTGCATGTGGGGGAGGGAGAGAGAGAGAGGGAGACACAGAATCCGAAGCAGACTTCCAGACTCCAAGGTGTCAGCACAGAGCCTGATGTGGGGCTCAAACTCACAAACTATGAGATCGTGACCTGAGCCGGAGTCAGATGCTTAACTGACTGGGCCACCCAGGCGCCCCTAAATTTAGTTTTGAATATGTTGTATCTTGAGGTACTTTCTGGACAACTAAGAAGAACTGTCCAGTGAGGCATTAAGTATAATAAACTGGGTCTCAGGAGAAAGGAAAGGCACACAGTAGCTGGGAGTCTCATCAAAGGAGGGCACTGCTGGAGCAAGGGCAGTGAAAGATGACCCAAGAATAGCATACAGAGCAGGCTTGTTTATTTGGTTAAATACACATGCAAGTATAATATATATACAGAAGTCCATATTTTGTGAGGATATAGCATAAACTAAATATACACAAACTAAATATATCCCTGTAACTAGCACCCTGATCAAAAAAGAACATTACAGCACGCCAGGCATCCCCTCATACCAGACAGGAGTTCCTAACTGGGTATCCGTGAGCAGGTTCACTGGTTCCCCAGACCTCCCTGAAAGTATGTGCCAGATTTGTATAGATGTACTGTCCCCCCACTCTGGTGAAAGGGTTTGTAGCTTTTATCAGAATCTTAAAAGGGTGTTTACATCCCAAAAAGAACAAACCCCTCCTTGTGGAGTGAGGGTGGGGGGGAAGAGAGGGCTTGGAGCAGAACTTGGAGACTATTTAAGACACAAAGTATAGCTCACTATTCACTATTCAGTCCTTGCTGGTTTGGTTTGGTTTTATTTAACTTCCTCTATCTTAGAGAATCTAAGATTCTTTGGGCTTTAGTTATATAAACAAATAAGGGACATTCCTTACCTAGTCTTTGAGAGGTATTGTCTATACACTTATACTACAAGCAATGACCGACTCTTGGTACAAATGTTAAAATTGCTTTTTATGAACAGAATTCCTTGACTAATTTTTGAGATTAGCAAATTTTAATACCCTTTATTTTTTTGAAAGCCATGAAGTATTATAAGTAGCTACTAGTTTCTATTGTGCTGTTGTTAAAAATCCAAACTTTATCACTAGAAATTTATTCTATTTTACAATTTCTAATTTATATCTATAACTGCTTTTTTTTTTAAATAGATGAAGGATATTCTTTCAGCAGTGTCCTGTATTATGGAAATGAAGCCACTCTTCTTATTTTTGATATGCTGTTCTTCTGTGTTGTGGATTTGGCTTGCCAAAATTTTGTTCTAGCAGCCATCCTTACATACCTACAACAAGAGGTAACTTTAAAATTTTTTACTGGACTTCTTTTTAAAAAAATACATTGGATGGGGTGCCTGGTGGCTCAGTCTGTTAAGCGCCTGATTCATGATCTTGGCTCAGGGGATGATCTCATAGCTTGTGAGTTCAAGCCCTGCATCAGGCTTCTCTGCACCTCCCCGCCCCCCAAATAAATACATAAACTTTAAAACAAATATTTTTAAAATATAATTTAAAGAAGAAATATGATGGACGTAGATGTTTTATAGCAGAGACCAACAATGTCTCCTTTTGCCAGGAATTTGTAAAGGTTTAGAATATGATTATTCCTACCAAAAAAAAGAAGAAACATTTCAGCCCTCTTCTTCAGGATCAATGAAATACTGGGGTATTGTGGAGGGCATAAGTTGCTTGAGTAAATGTGAAAGGAATCCAGTAGGAAGATATTCAAATTGCTGATTCCTAGATGCCAGAAGCAGCAGTAATTAGAACCTGAAACCCATTTTACCATATATGTTAACTAACTAGAATTTTTTAAAAACTTGAAATTATAAAAGAAAAAGTAGAGGTAGAGTTCCAGTAGAGGTGCTGGTCCCTCAGCACCAGAGGTTAACGTAACCAAAAGGCACATAAGGGTGATGTAGCTCAGGACTCAGCCACAGAACGGCCCCTTTAGGGTAACTCCCATGCATTCTCTACCTGTGTGGATAGAAAAATAACATTCCTGAATGGCTTTGGAGCCTGAAATGAAGATTTTAAGAAATGACAAATTTGTTCTGGAAATGTTTGTAATGTCACTCAAATATTCCCCCTTTATATCTAGGAAGTATATGAGTTAGTAATGTATAATTTATTAGTCTTTGACAGAGATCTAAAATTACAAACCAGTTCCATCCCTAAACAGTTCTCTTGATGTTTTCATAGCTTTTAGAGCTAGAGGTAAGTTGCCTTGCAAAATATTTGATAGTGCATTTTTATGAACATGAGAAGATTTGTATTTTTTTAAATGTTTTATTTATTTCTGAGAGAGGGAGAGAGACCACGTGAGCAGGAGAGGGTCAGAGAGAGATGGAGACACAGAATCTGAAACAGGCTCCAGGCTCTGAGCTATCTGTCAGCACAGAGCCCGACGCGGGGCTCAAACCCACGAACTGTGAGATCATGACCTGAGCCGAAGTCGGACACTTAACTAACTGAGCCACCTAGGCGCCCCGAAGATTTGTGTTACTAATTCATTAAAATATATTCTAAATAGGAATATATACTTCTTTGATATTATGAAAGCTGATAAAGTCTTGAAATAATTTTGTATATCACCATGAGCTCAGGACTCAGATGAGCTCATGGTTCAGATGCCAGATACATGAAAATTAATAGTTGAGAGAATTAGCTAGTTTAATTTAGATATTTTAATTGGATATGCATATTTCATTTTCTTTCTATATATAATTTTTGATTCTGAATTTTAATTTTTTTTCCAGATTTTTAGATTTATACGTAATACAGTAGGACAGAAGAATTTGGCATCCAAAACATTGGTGGATCAAAGATTTCTGATTTAATTTTTTAAAAGACAATATAGTTGTGGCAAAAAGAGTCATGATCATCAGGTCAGTTTGCCAACGTTTTTAAAACTTTTAATACAAATTATTCTATTTTTATTTGTTTTCTAATCTAAAGAAATATTTATTTTTATAACTTGTGGATACATAACTTCTTTGTGAATATATAATGTGATATAATGAAAAATATTGTTTTCCCATTTGTGGTGGTATTTAATTCACCAACTCATAAATTAGATAAACTGATAACAGGGCAAAAGAAATCTAAATGTCGTAGGGGCACCTGGGTGGTTCAGTCAGCTAAGTGCCTACTTTGGCTCAGGTCATGATCTCCCTGCATTGGGCTCTGTGCTGACAGCTCAGAGCGTGGAGCCTGCTTCGGATTCTGTGTCTCCCTCTCTCTGTCCCTCCCCCACTCATGCTCTGTCTCTGTCTGTCTCTCAAAAATAAACTAAAATTTTAAAAAAAATTTTTAAATTTAAAAATACAAATAAAAAAAATGTTGCTGTCAGCATGCTTTTCAATGGTAATCAAAACAGTCCTCATCATTTGTCTCTGTAGATAATTTTATAAACTGAGATTTCCCTACATTTTCTCACATTGACAAAATTCTTTAATTCCAAGTTCAAGTCTAGTTTTCAGTTTAACATTTTCTAGTTTTTACTTATGGTAAATAAATATTGAAAATATTGAAAAATATTTTCAAGTACTTAGAAATTTGAAATTGTGTATTGCTGACTCACCTTTGCCTCCTTTTAATTACTCACCCTGTTTGGCAATGGACTAATTCACTGTTGGATTAATAGGCATCTCATGAAAGGGTATATATTCATTCCTTTGTATATCTGTATTGTTACGTCAATAGATCTTTCCCGTTAAGCATGTATATATCTTAACTATCATTTACATTTAAAACAAAGCTATAATGTGTGACATTTTCTCCAATATAGTTTCTCATACATTTTAAAAATTATATTTTAAGAGCACTCCCAAGTTTTGCTCTTTCATTATATTTAAAGATTACAAATAATGAACTGTAAATTTATCATGTTATATTGACAAGGTGATTTATTGAAAGCAAACTTAGGCTTCATAAATCAGTAGCCTTGTATTTTTTTTAAATAAGGAAAAATTTTAGAATCCAAAATATACTTAATGTAAATTCTGAGCCACATAGTTAATACTTTCCAATGACATGATTTTTTTCTTTAATACACTCTTTAATAATCCTTTTCATTGCATACTATGTAATTGAAAGGCATCTTATGTTTCAAGTATAATGATCATTAACCCACAAACCATCATCTCTTACTGCCTTCTGTGTTGATGCTGTGTAAATACTTTAATGTTATGTAAATATTGTTTCTATTTTTTAATTGAAAATACGGAATAAAACATTTGGAAACAGTCTCTGTTTCCTGTTTGATTAATGTGTATTTCATGAAATAACATTTAGGAATATACAATATTATTGTGATACGGGTCCCCAGCCTTTGCCAAAGTTGAATCTTTTACATTTCTTTGAATTTTAAGGATGACTGAAGAGAAAGAAGTAGGGCTAAGAAGTCAGGTATTTGAAACTACAGTTTCTGGAGGGTCAAAAGTACAGGAATGCCTTTATAAAATCTGGAAAGAGAAATAAATGTAATAGCCTGGATTTTTAAAACCACTTGCTCAGAAGCATATGAAGGAAATTTAACTCTCACTGCACACATAAGAAGTTAATAGTAATGCGAATGTTTGAAAATGGGAATTTCAAAAAATAGGATCAGTCAGCTCACCTAATAAATTAAAACAGAGAAAAAAAATTTTTAAATCTCTTTTTTCTATACTAGTTTTATACAATATTACTTTTTATTTTGGTTAGATACATAAATATGTGTTCAGATTTTCATATGCTGTTGATTCCTTTGTTCACATTGCCACAATGTAAATTTTATGATCAGGTGCCTGATTTTCCATTAGCTCCATGATCTTATGTCTATTTCTGTGGCACCAGTTTACTGTACTTTGCCTCTTATCATCCCCAGCTTTACTGATTACCTAGAAACATTTGGTAAGTCTCCTCATCATTCGTACTGAAGCAAACTCTTGGTTCACCTAGAGCCTCTTTACAAGCTGCTGTGTGCTTAGTATCCTTCTTAGAAAATGCATAGCTCCCTAACGATCCTGCAGCCTGCTCTCTGTTATGAGATGCTTACATTTGCTCATTTCTCTGGCACTGCTGTCTTAACAAACCCTTTTGAGAAGGCTCTGCGGGTTGCCTGCTGGTTGCTAGATTGAAAGGCATTCAAAATGACCGCTAACTCGGTGCTTGCAGGTACGAAATATGTATTCTTTTTGTTGCCTATAAATATTGACAGAAGCTGAGGGGAAATAAGTATAAATCAAGGAACAGTGTGACTTAATGGAAAATGCTCCAGATTTAGTAACAGAAGCCCCAGATTCAAATGAGAATTTTGCCTATTACTTACAAGCTTTGGGACCTTAAATCAAGTCATTTGACATCATTGAGCTTTTGTCTGCATCTTTACAATGGAAATAATACCCTCTGTTTACCACTTGTTGTGAGGATTAATTCCTTATCTTGGTGATTAAAACATAATAGGAAACTAGGAACACTAGAATTTTTATGATTTTTAGTTTAAAACACCTGCCTCCAAATATATTTTCTATCTTGCTAATAAATTATTTCCATAATATTAAAACCCGGATTACTGATCTCAGTAGCTGACCAACAAAAATTCTGAGCCTTATTTCTACCTCAGCCACCCCAGCCTCACCAGGAAGAAGCCCTCCCTGGTAGATGTCACAGCTGTCAGTGAAAAGCAAGAAGGAACTGTCATCACACCATATTGTAGACATGATTCATAGTACGGATTAGAAAGAGGGAAGAGGGGCACCTGGGTGGCTCAGTCGGGTGAGCATCACTCTTGATTTTGGCTCAGATCATGATCTCACGGTCATGGGATCAAGCCCCACATCAAGTTCTGCACTGAGCATGGAGCCTTCTGGGGATTCTCTGCCCCTTCCCTGCACATTCTTTCTCTCTTTCTCTTTTCTCTCTCAAAATAAACATTCAAAGGGGGGAGAGGGAAGAGAGTGGAATATTTGGAAGCAGGAGTTTATTCATTTATTCATTCAAACAATACTCAGGAGGGTCTTAGAATTGGTAGAGGAAACAGGTGTATCCACCAATAATTGCAGCGAACTGAAAAGTGCTACAGCCATCAGGGTGTGATGGGAAAGCTCTTCACTGTGCATCTGCTGTCATTAAAACTTTTACCTGAGGAAAGTGGTATTTAACCTAAAATTTAAAGATTAACAAGACAAAGGCGATCAAAGCAAGAAACAGTATGTACTCTGAGGTGAAGAAACATAGCAGTTGGGCACTACAGGTAGTTGGAATACAGAATTCATGTATTCTGTATGTTTTTAAATTTTTCTGTATGTTATGTTTCGGCATCTTAAATTTTTTCATCTGGCTATTTTTTCTAGGATTGGAATTTCAGCCAAGGGCAGAGCCAGGAGCCTGCTTTGACAATCAAGCTTTGACACGGCACGCACGCACTGCTTCCTAAGACCTGTGACGATAGGAACCTTTGTTTTCCTGAGCCTCGCCTGGGTCTCTTCTTGTGGCTCCACCTGACCATCACGTAGAACACAGGACAGAACATTTGGGGGTTTTAGAAGGAGACAACTTTGGAAAGGAAAATAGGAGCTATATTATTAAAGATTTTTACATCAAGCCACAGCATATAAACAGCTTCACCAAGCTAAGCTTACCAGCTGAATACTTTACCCCAAAGAGCAAGTGGATGGACAGAAGGGCATGAAGGGACCTTGCACAGTCAAATTGCTCTGCAGTACTTGGTAGCCCACAGGCTAGGAGACTGGTGCCTCTGCCGTCTGTTACCTGGCATATCATGGTTCATTTAAAAAAAAAAATGCATTGCCTATAAGACAGGCAGCAAAGGGTAATGGTTGACAACACAGAATCTGGAACCAAACTCACTGTACTCAACTTCCAGCTCTTACTAGCTGAGTGATTTGGAGTGATTACTACTTACCTTCCTGTGACTACATTTCCTGCTCCATAAAAGGGAATAATAGCAACTACCTCACTGAGTTTCGGGGCAGATCGAATGAGTTGCTGAGTATATGGTGCTTAGGAGAATGCCTGGCACATAGGTAATACTATGCCAGCGTTACCATGTAGTAGAAGAGGTAGCAGGAGTAAGTCCTATTCATATTTAATTCTGAAAGAAAGACCCAGATTAGTCTCTGTGGGGCCAGCCTTAGGACACTGTGACTGGAGAGTGCCAGAAGTAGCAGTGGACAAACAGCCCAACACAAAGGAGCCTGTGGGCTTTAAAAATAACTTCTCACTTATTATCATTATTATTACAAAAAAAGAGGACATGGCTGTGGATCTGCCCAGGATAAACAAATGATGACTGGAATGAAATCTAGAAACAGGCCCATGGTCACTTGAGGTGAAGACAGGGTGGTCAATTGAATATCATAACAGAAAAAAAAAAAAATAGAATCCTTACCCCTATGTCACACTTACACAAAAATCAATTTCAGGTAGACGGTAGATCTAAATGTGAAAGGTTAAATGCTAAAGCCTCTAGCCGGTAACAGGAAAACATATTCCTAACTTTGCTGTTGGCCAAGATTTCTTAAGACCCGAAAAGAGTAAATGAAAACATTTATTAAATTGGACTTTACAATTTGCATTAACTTTGCCCTCACATATATTTCCATTAACTGTAAATGTAAATTTGCAATTTACATTGAAATTAGGAATTCTGTTCATCAAAAGATATAAGAATGAAAAGGCAAACCTCCATATGAAAAAAATTTAGAAGCATATTATCTGACAAACCACTTCCATCCAGAATAAAGAACTCATCAGTTCAGTAAAGAAAAGACTAACAAACCCAAAAGAAAAATGGACAAAAGACTGCTGTATGCATCTCTCAAAAGAGGACTTCCAAAGGATCATAAGCACATACAAAAAATGTTCAGCTGGGTGGATGGTTACCTCAGTTGGGTAGAATATGGCACTAACAAAACTGACACTGCAGATGTGATCCCCAAACAGGCCAAGAGGGGCATTAGTTCTTGTATTTAATAAATATTAATATTTTTTAAAGTGTTCAACCTGAGTCATCATGAGAATGCAAAATAAAATCAGCGAGATATCACTCACAGCAGAACCACCAAAATGGTTCAAATTACAAAACTTAAAATACCAAGTGTTCCTAACGATACGGAGCAGATGAACCTTCATACTACATTTCTGATAAGAAAGTAAAGGGGATCAGTCTTCATC